ATGGAGAGGATCCCATTGATAAGGAGATTAAAGTGATTAAGGAGATTAAAGTGATTAAGGAGGGGCCTAGAAATTCAACCTTAAACAATAGGGAGAGTGCCTTCAGGGCAAGACCATACCCAGTTAAGCCTCCAACTTGTGAAAAGAAAATACTTCAGGGACCACTGAAGAGAAAAGATTCTAAAATGGATAAAGCAGGCTGGAGTCCATCCAAAACTTGCAGTCAAACTTGGCAGTGTCGTTCACCTGGTGCTGGCTTTAGAGGCATGAAATATGCAAGAGTGAAGGGGTCATCAGTTCTTCCTCCCTCTTCCTCCCCGGTTTCAGAGAGCTTTGGAGGCCAGGCAGCCTGAAGCAAGGGTTCTCCTGACTAGAGAAGGCTCTGATAGACCTTTGCATGAAGCTGTGTAGGTGAAGCCTGGTTGGCAATGGAGACCCCAAGAAGTTTGTGATGCCAGAGCTGTGAGGCATCTGCCAAGAAGACCTACATACAGGGAGTGGTACCAGCACAAGAGAGATGTGTGTTGCACATAGCAAAGCTAGATAGGCTGAGCCATCTAAGCCCTTTGGAAGTAAAGTCCCAGGAGTTGGACGTGGAGCTACTGAATTTGATGTTTGCCTTGCTGGTTTTTGGGTCCAGTATTTCCTTACTATCCCTCCAGTCCTCCCTTTTGGAATGGTAATGTATATTCGGTTCCACTATGTGTTGGGGGTATGTAATTTGTCTTTTGATTTTATAGAGGCTTACAGTTCAGATAGTTACCTGAGTCTCAGAATAAACTTTGGACTGTGGACTTTTGAATAGTATTGAGACTGATAATGACTATAGGGACTTTTAAAGTTGGATTAAATGCATTTTGCATTTTATATGATCATGAGCCTATGGGGGCCAGGGGGTGGAATGTGATAGTTTGGAAGAAAACATCCCCCATAGGCTCCAAGTATTTGGACATTTTGTCCTCACATGGTGGTGCTGTTTTGGGAGGTTTTAGAAGGTGTGGCCATCCTGGAGGAAACACATCACTGGGGGTGGGCTTAGAGAGTTCTTAAGTGTTGCCAGATCTCCAGTCACTCTCTTGCTTCCTGTGCCTGTGTGATGATGTGAAAGCTTAGCTTCTGCTGCTCCTGCTCCAGCCACCTCCAGCCACCATGCATCCCTGCCATGACGGACTATAATTCCCCTGGAACCGTAAGCTCAAATAAACTCTTCCTTCTATAAATTGCTTGGGTCAGTGTTTTTATTACAGCAACAGAAAAGTGACTAATACAATATTGAAAGATTGTTTTTTATCCATTTCTTGGCCGAGTCCAAGGGTTGTGATCATAGATTGTTGGTGTTATCATTTTTATCAGCAGAAATTCAATTATCTTTTGGTTCATTAATTTCTGCATGCACCTTGCTTCTTGTTCCAAAGTGATGTTACCATTTTATGATTCAAGTGATGGCTTTCTGAGGCAAACAGGTTTTAACATGCAATTCTGAGAACCAAATTCCTTGGAAGCCATCTTTAGATCTTCTAAAGCACAATAAATGTGAACTGACAATAATCAACTTGATAACACCATGAACCATGAAACCGAGCAAATTCAAGTACGACTGCTCTTAACTCAGACCCTAGTCTCATGTTCAAGAGTTCTAGTAAGCTTAAAATAGAACTATCTAAAGTCATTAAATGAAAGACAGTTATATCTTTCAATTATTATTCATTCATAATTCGCTTATTCAGGTTCAGGTGTAAATAGTAGATAGAATCATCAATGGTCTCACCATTCTGGACTGTAATGTCAACAAAGTCATCTGTCTGGCAGGAGTTACTGACAGTTCTGTCTTCTTTGGGGTTTTAGTGAGAAGCCAAGACAGATGTCTATGGAAAATGCCTGGTTTTCTATCACTTTATCCTCTACTTCTCTTCCTCATCATTTGCTGCAAATACAAGAGATCTTTCATGATTGATATTAATCAAGTATGTGAAGGGGAGATTTCCATTGCTAAATGTCAGAATAGATAAAATAGGAACACAAATCCAAGTCTTCCCAGTGACAGTGGATAACAGTGGGAGTTCCCTCTTTGGCAACTGAATGCTGTTGCTGTAGCAACATTCTTTCCCTTAGCTTCAGGTCTTCTGTCATATCTTTGTGCCTATGAGGGCACTTCTGTGGGGTTTGTATGAGTGTGTACATGTACTCCTCTCTCTCTCTCTCTCTCTGTCTCTCTCTCTCTCCCTCTCTTTCTCTCTCACACACACATACACACAGGGGACCTCACATGGGGGAGAGAGAGAGAGAGAGAGAGAGAGAGAGAGAGAGAGAGAGACAGGATATGGAGGAGGCAATAGAATTTGGAAAGGGAGGTTCAAGTGTCGGTCAACTCTTTAAGGAGTTGCTGTCAGTTAGTTTTGGTGGTAGATAGATGCGTTCTCCTTCCCGTGACTTTCAAAACAGAATACTAGCATCTCAGGGGCTTGCTACCTTGTTGCATTTTAAAAATTAGTTTTGATTTTGCTAGTTTTGCGCCTTTATAGTCTGCTTTCTTTCTTTAAATTTTTGTTGCAACCTATCCAAACCTCAGAAGGTAGCCAGGGTCTTGCAGAAATTCCAGACACATGGAATTTGTGGAGCATTGAAAATGTTAGGAATTAGTGAAAACTTCATAAGAGACCTCAGTATGTACTTGTCAACTGTCTGTAGATGCCTTTTCCTAATCTAGTTCTAAAGAGTGTGTGTTGGGGCAGGATAGTGAAGAGAGATAATTTGAATAAAACTCAGGAGAGTGAAGTATTCATTTCCATTATGTTAGTAATTATATCCAATATCTGGGGCTAGGTTTTGGTCTGAATAACTGGAGGAATACAGTAGCTATTAAGAAAAATAGGAATATTAATTATAGATGGAGCAGGAAGACTTAGGGTGAAGAACAATTCTGGGTATGCTAAAATTTAACATGCAAGTAAAGATACTGAAGTGAGAAATTGACTATGTGAGTTTGGAATATCAGAGAGAGGCTAAAGCTGGAACCTTAAGCCTGAGAGTTAAGGCTCAGATGTGGCATTTTAACTCACAAAAGCAAACAATATTACAAAAAGAGAGGAAGATTAAGAACTGAAGTTTGTGGTACTCCAACGTTAAGAGAACAGGAAGCTGAAGAAAAACCTAGATAAAGGCCAAACAAAAATTATTACATGCTAAATTTGGTCCCTTTACTAGAGCAAGAGTTACAAATTTTTGGAGGAATTCATAACCAGAAGAGACTGTAGACAATATTTATTCCAATCAAGAATGCTAACCTGATTTTATGCTTACATAAGTGACCTTGTCAGATCACTTGACTTCTCTGAGTTTCCCTTCTTTACCTATAAAGGCAGCTAAATCCAATGACTTAAATGTTAAATTATTCATAATTCTATGTTTTCATTTTACAGGAGACACTGAGTGAACTAATGAGTGACTTGCCCAAACATTGTCTTCTTAATAGTCCACAGGACAGTGCTAGTCCATTGCTTTTAAACCCCTTCCACATATTAGAATCCTTAGAAAGCTTTCCATGAGACTGATCACTGGGTCCCAAAGTTAGTGTCTCATTTTGCTGCTGAGTTGAGTTTTGACACTCCTTGGGTAATACTAGTGTGTGGCCAATGTTGAACTTCCCTACTCTATATGAACAAAGCACAGCACTGTCTTGCTAGCCAATGTACTTTTCTCCTTATTGGCTTGTATCTCCAACAGAAACATAATTCAATTAATTTTAAGGATTTTATTGTCACATGAAGCTCACCACAGGAGGTTAGCTTTTGTAGACCTTGGTATACTAAAGTAGTACTAGCTTTGTCTGAAGCTTGGTAGCCTTCCTGACCTCCATCTTCAAAATGGAATGCTAGAGAAAACCAGGAAGCAATCACTGCATGTGTGGTTGTGAGAGAGTCAAATGAGATGGATTGTTTGACATTTCTCTCCATCGTTTATGATAGAAGATATGATTTATTTAAATAAAAAAAAACAAATTGCAAGGGGCTGGAGAGATGGCTCAGTGGTTAAGAGCACTGGCTGCTCTTGCAGGGGACCCAAGTTCGAGTCCCAGCACACACAGGGTGACTAACAACTGTCCATAACTTCAGTTCTAGGGGATCCAATGCCCTCTTCTGGCCTCCGCAGACATTGCATGACACAGGCACACTTACATACATGCAGGCAATACACTCATACACATGAAATTAAAATAATAAAATATTTTTTAAAATAACTTGCAAAGATAATGAGCAGTCTATCAGGTATAGTATACAAATATCAGCGCTTTGGCACAATTACATAGCAGGTATAATCACTAACCTTCCAGAGCCTACCTACGGATTTATAGTGATTTCTCACCAAAGCTTTGCAATTTTGTCTGCCAATGGGTGATAGGGTTTATTGGTTAAAACTCACATTGTCTAATGTGTGAATATATGTGCTTAAGAATGTATTAAAATCTGGATTCTAGTAGCCATTTTCTCTGACGAACATGTGCCTATGGTGATAAGCATTTTGAACTAAGACAGGACACAGTCATGAATTGCAGGGTCCCATTATTTACAGTCTTGCCAGACTTACTTACCATGCTAGTAGCGCAAGGAAGTGATTGTTCCATGCATAATGCACCAGTGATTAACCCGGTAATTTTCCCTTGAACCACCCTTCTCTAGTCTATGCTTGTTTCTTGCTGCTCTTTATAACCTTAAATCACTTTCTTAGTTTAGAAGCATAAAAATATATTGTGTATGACTTGGTTTGATCATAAAATTGTCATATTTGATATATTCAAAGATGTGAAAGCCTTGAGGGAGAAAACAGAAAAATTCAAGGGAGAAACCAAGCAAGTCCTCAGAAACATTTTTCCTCCCTCTGGGTCTTCATAGCTCTGCTCCACTCAGACGTGTGGCACATAATAATAGAGAAAGGCTTGGAACATACTCTGAGATTGCTCTAGGGTGACTAGAACTCAAGATAGTTGTAATTTTTAAAAATAGGTTTCACCGTTGTTTGGAACCATCTACAATTCAATTTATTTTATCGCATAAGCCATGAATAATGCTATGAAAGAAAATGGACGGGCTAGTGCTGCCAGCCTGGTTCAGCATTCCAGAAACATGCAGTTCTATGGACTCAACCAGTTGGTAAGTACAGATTCAAATGGAAATGGAATTTCTGAATATGTAATCCTGGACACCAACTGGGAAGAATGGTTACTCCGTGGCACCCACACTGTGGACATGGAAACAGAACTGCTACAGTTCAGAGGAACCCCTATTCACTTTCCTGGTGGCAGGCCCCCTAGAGCAGATGCAAAATGCTGGTTTGCAGAAGGGAAGATCTGCTGAGGAGGTAAGGAATCACTGGTCATCAATGTAACTCAGTGTGGGTTATAGGAGAATGTCTTAAAGACAAGGTATATTTTAATGTTGAAAGAATCAGAAGGTCAGACATTTGCATTCAGGGTGTATAGATATTTGGGTGTTTTTTCTTTTTAAAATTAAAAATAATCAGAACAACAAGATGCACTTTCCACTCTTAAAGGATCATAAACAATTTAAATGTCTTCCCATTACTCATTCTTAAAGTGATCTCAATCTTTCTCAAAGACATTACTCTAATATGAGAAAAAACATTTTCCTTCACCTTTGACTTTAGTTGCTTGTGACCTATGATTGTTTTTTTCTACTAAAAAGATCAACTGGATGTGTTTTGATATATCCAAATCATGTCATTCAGATCTTACCACAGGAATATCATATTTAAACCATCTCGTCTCTGAACTCCCATTACATTAAAATTCTCTGCCTTATAGCTTAGCACAAAATTGCTTTTCACTTGTTTTTCTGTGTATTGGTTGTGTCTTCTCCACTCCTCAAATATCTTGCTCCTTGAAGGGAGGGACCACAGCTAATCATTCTTATGCCTTCACCCTTCTGGCAGTTTGATTGACTAGTAGAACTCTTCTAGCTTGTGGAAGAGGAAAACTTCATCAAATCTCTGACAGCCAGAGGGTAATTTTGGAAGGACCTATATTATTGTTATCCAAGTATCTACCAAACCATTCCAAAACCAAAAGCATCTATTTGAAATAAGCTTTGACTTGTATCTTACTTTAAACTGACATACCGTGCTGCCTCTTTACTCACATCATCATATATTTCCCTCTGAAATGTTAATGATCTATTGAAATATTTAGATTTTGTAGAGTCCAATAAACATGCTGATGACAACACTAATTATCAAAACCAGATTCCTTCTCATTATTGAAAAACAACTATTATATAATCCGTGAGGTCTGTGGGCTCAAATGAATTAAAAAGTTCTTTTATTTTTTGAAGAAAGACAACATAATACTTACCCTTCACAGAAGAGATAACATATTTATCCTCAAGAAAAGAACTCTATTGCTGTCCAACTTAAATTAAGGTACTCAAAGTTTTCCATTTGTAGACTTTTTCTTCCAAAGAAACATCCTGGTCAACCTTAATTCATGTGATTTGTTATTGTCAGAGTGCTGAGTGGTGCTTCAGAACAGTGAAATTGCTTTCTGTGCCCATAAAGTCAACAAGACAGACTGTGCTGTAGAAAAATGGAATTAGGTTAGGTAGATATGGCTTGATTTTAGAGTCACCAGAAAGCATGAGGAGTCGCTCTGTGGTGCCCTTTATTTACTGTTTTTCTCTTTTAATGCCATTCTTTCTCTTTCTCTCCCTCTCTGTGGGCATTGAGCCCACCTTAGCCATGATGGTCTGCCTTGCTTTGCTTATAGTTTTGCTGTGTATTAATGGATTTGCTTATTTTAGAAGGTATATACATATTTTTTGTTCTTTCTGTATACACAAGACACAAGTCCACATTAGTCTTGTCAATATTGATTTCCAGGAAGTCATGTTTCCAGACAATTGCCTCATTACATATCCCAATGTTTTTCTTTTCCATAGTAATTTACCATCCCTATTGGCCCCAGTTAGAGTGAAGTGTATTCATGACGCCAAGAATAACTTTCTCAGCTATATTGTCAGTGTTGTTGCCTATGAGTATATCTGGCTCTCAACACAATGATGAAATAAGAGAACGAGGAGTTTATGCTTATCTACTACTCCCTCTCCATGTTACTTTTCCACCTAGCAGTGTCTCATATAAGTATCTCCATTCCCAAATGGTATGGTAGGGAATGAAATTGGAATACTGTAATAAATCCCAAGGATTAGGCACACTTTAAATAATCTCTGAGCTCTAGGAATAATGGTACTAGCTCATAAGATTATGGTAGAGGTGCTGCCAAACCTGATGTTCTGAGTTCAAATGCCGGGACCCATATGGTGGAAGGAGAGAACTGGCTTCTGAAAATTGTCCTCCGACCTTTACATACATGGTGTGTTACATGTGCTCCCTGCCCCCATGCACACACACAAAATAGATAAGCAAAAATATTTGGGTGCTGGAGAAACTGCTCAGTGGTTAAGAGGGAATCTTCTCTTCCAGAAGACCAGAGTTTGGTTTTCAGCACCTACATTGAACAGGTCACAATCGCCTGTAGCTCCAGCTCCAGAGGATCTGATGTTATCTTCTGGGCTCTGTGGCACTATACTCATGTGCACATACCCACAATCATGCATATATATATTCAGATAATTAAAATAAAACTTTGGGCCAGGTATGGTGGCACATGCCTTTAAACTCAGCATTCAGGAGACAGAGGGAGGCAGACCTCTGTGAGATGGAGGCCAGCCTGATCTACATAAAAAGTTCCAGGTCAGGTGGGGTTACAGGGAGACCCTGTCTCAAAAATACAGAAAATAGAGATAAAGTAAAATACTGTAAAACAGTTTGTAGTAGTGATTAAGTAAAACTGGATAAAGCATATACAACTGTACCTGATGCATAGTAGGTGCTCAGTAAATGGAAAAAAGCTTAAGTTCTTTGGAGACACACGGGATTTTCCTGCTAACTATTGGGAGCCCAGAATCTATATTTTTAGACAGGGTTGTTTCCCTGTAGCCCCAGCCATCCTGGAACTCAACTATGTAGCCCCGGTGGCCTTGAACTCACTGAGATCTGCCTGCCTCTGCCTCCCCAGTGCTGGGATTAAAGTCATGGCCACCATGACCAGCAGGATCTCTATTTTTTTACAGGGTATCAGAATCTGGATTTCCATTGTCCTTCCTTAGAGCAAACTATCCTATCCGTTCATGTGCATCACCATTTTTTTCACCCACGTCTTTCTTTTCCTTCATCATATCCCTTAATAGGTGATCAACTAACTTGTTGACCTGTTTCAATACCGGCCTGGAGATTACTTAACCAGACAATCCTTTCTTACAATATTTACATTTTAAGAGAGGGACTCTGTTCATACTAGGATAATTTGGTGAAAGTGATACTTGAAATGAATTACTCTCTTCCACTTTGTCATTTCTTTGCAAGGGTGGTCCCAACAACAATATGGTATGAACTAGTAGGGAATTCCAAGAAAAAATACGTAGAATGAATGAAATGGATGTGTGAACCTGTAAAAGCCACTTAATCATCTCTTGGGTAGAATTTTCTCATTTTACAGTAAAGGAACTGGATTAGATGATGCTGAAGAACAATTTCAGCACTGATATTTTAATGAAAATATGAAACCTGGGATTGAAACCATTAAGAGGTGTTACTCTTCATAGTTAATATGTTGGCACCATTAAGAAAACTAGTTTCTAATTCATCCAGTATTAAAAACTTGGTAAAAACACACAAAAGAGTAGGGAAATTATGAACTGTTAAAACACACTTGTAAAGATATTTATTCAAAGGAGGTTTTCCTTCTAAGTTTTGTGACTGTGACATGTCACTGCTAAGAACAGAAATTTAATATCCCTTTGGTGCTGCTAGAGATTAAAGTTTTTCATTAGTGTCCTTAGATACTTTTAAGAACCCCATAGCACACTGGAAAGTGGAGTCATAGTCAGCTGTTTATATTACTAGATGATAATTCTTGGTGGTCTTTTCCATTGAATGGACTGGTTCTTTGGACTTTGAGTGAGCATAGCCTATAATTCTTGGGAAGAGAAGGAAAAAAGGGAAAAAAGAAACCACAAAGGTGGGGGATTTGTTTTGAGCTTTTGGAGCTGGAGGGCAAAAAAGACTGGAGAGGAAAATGATTGGAGAGGGACATGATTAGAGAGGAAAATGATTGGAGAGGAAAATGAGTTTGAGACAATTGGTACTTCAAGTGGTCACATAAAACTCAGAGATGGGAGAGAGGCACATCATTTCCCAGAGTCACTTGGTCCTTTGGTTCTTCAGCTAACAAAGCACAAAAAAAATGCCCCTTCTTTGCTGCCTTCCTCCCTCTCTCTGCCCACCACGACTGCAATCAGAAGAGCTGAGCGGCTGATGAGTTTCTGTAATAGATGGTGATTACTTGCAGGAGAGTGACTCTCTGTTCCTTCTTTTTCTGTGTGTTTTGATTGTTTAAGTTCTTTTTCCAGAAAGAAAGACGTGCAAAGAACCCAACCACCCCAAAACAAAGAATTCTTTGAACTTCTCTTTTCTCCCTCCTCCTCCGAAGCAGATTGCATTGCCTTTCTATAAAGCTCTCCAGAGCTTTGTAATACTAATGATGATGATGATAATAATGAGCCCTTATACTTTCCTAGTACTTCACGCTTTCAGAGCACTTTCACATACATTATCTCATTTGATTTTCAAAACAAGTCTCTAAAGCGGGTAATGCAAGGACTATTATTCTGCTAGATAGGAGACATTGAGGCATGAAGAGGTTAAATTATTTATCCAAGGTCACCTGCACCTGGCTAATTAATAACCAAAGTAGCACTGTCCCCCTCCCCAGGTCTCTGGATTGGGAATCTAATTTGCTTTCTACTAGATTGTGTACTGAACCACAATTATTTTTACAGGTGTGTCTGCTTTAAAACAATTTTCTACACATATGAAACAGATAAGTTAGGGAGTGATGTTTTACTTTGCCAAAAGATTCATGTGCTTGACCCAAGAAGTCACTATGGGGCTCTTTTAATTTTCTCTGCAGGGCAGCAGCTCCCACCGTGATAAGGGACATATTTGTTGGCAGACAATTAGAAACACATTGTTTGTTTACAAACCAGTGAAGTCACTGAGAAATATTGTCAGGGTCTTTGGCACTTAAAGGCACAGTGACATTATAGATTTCTTACGACAGTTTGAAAAAGCATTTTGTTTCTGGAGTTGTTTTCCTCACTGTGGCTCTTACATTTAAGACATTCTACAGAGTGTCCATTATTGAGTTCTGGAAAAAAACAAAGCCAAAATGTAGTATTCAGACACAGACACACACACACAGTAAATAAATAAACAAGCAAATAAATAAATAAATAGATAAATAAATAAAGGACAAAACAACCATACTGACTAATCTGAGGTTCCACTCCAGTTCTTAAATTGCCTCATATACCCACCTGACTGTGGGAGGTAGGTATCATCTTATATGCCTAGTAAGTGATTTGTAGCAAATAATTACATTAACTGCAAATTAATGAGCATGTTTTGAAGAGAGTCATGTTTAAACTGTGTCTATGTAATCCTCAGACAAGAGACCAATTCAGTAAAGGGGGAAAAAACAGTCTGCCCACTTGTTTGGAATCATGTAGACAAAGCAACCAACTGATTGAATTTTTCCACTTTTCAACCTGTTGCTTTGGCAACGCATAGATGCAACTTTGCAAGACAAGTGGTCTTATGGGCAGAAATCTGGGCCTACGGCCAGGGAACAAGGATTCAAGTTCCAGCTTTGCCTAAGGCTAGGGAAGCTCACACAATTTGTTTAATTTTGTTTTGTTTCCTTAATGTGTTTTTGTTTATAAAATGGAGATCAATGATTCTTGGCCCTACATTATTAGGATGAATAGTATGGTGTATAGGACAGTATACAGAATTCCTTAAAATTATTCAAATGTGTTTTGAATGTACCTTTTGGTGTGAAATCACCATTTTATTAGGTTCAGAGAACACGCTCACCTCTTTCTTTTGATACCTTTTCAAAAATATTCTGATTTTTATCTTTTCATCTTTGTAAGCTGTGATGTCCAGGGTTGTTGATTCATTTTGCTGTAGGTATCATGGTAAAGATTCACGTATAGTTTTCTTCTAAATTATCTCTACCTTAGAGCTAGATTAGAGCAAATCAACTCAGGTTTTGCAAAACCTCCAGTCCCTTGTGACCATCTCATTTCATATTTGTTTCAGACGACAGATAAATAAAATCCAGTTGATTAAAGGACCCAACAGAATTCTACTGACTTTGGAGGATGTGGCATTTATTAATCCCCACATTGGCAGTAAGGTAAGTAGCCCTTCTTCTCGCTTCACTGTCTGATACTGTAGCCACAAGCTACAAGTGACTATTGAATACATGATATGTAGATAGTTTGGAATTTGATGTGCTATAAGAGTAAAATGCACATGGGATTTAGAACACTTAGTACAAAAACTTGTAAGGTAACTCGGGAAAATTTACAAAATATTGATTACATACATGTCAAAATTCTTTAGGATATATGGGGTTAAATAAACTATATTATTAAAATTATTTTTCATTTTTACGTTTTCAATATGACAGTTAAAAAATTAAAGTTACATATGTGCCATGGAATATAATTCAACCTCAGAACAATAAAATCTTGTCATTTTCAGCAACATGGAAGGAACTATAGGACATTATGTTAAATGAAATAAGCCAGACATAGAAAGACAGTAGCATGTGAACCTTGCTCATATGAAGAATCTGTAAAAGTTTATTTCTTAGAAGTAGAGAATAGAGTAGTGGTCAGTAGAGGGTAGGAAGTTTAGAAAATCAGAGGTCAGAAGAGAGTGTCAGTTCACCTGGACTGGAGTTATGAGTAGTTGCTAGACACTACGTAGGTTCAGGGAACAGAACGCAGGTCTACTGCAAGAGCTTCCAGCACTCTTAATCACTGAACCATCTCTCTAGCCCAAAATATGTATGATTATTATTAATTAAAATGAAATATGTGGCTCATGTTACATTTCAATTAGATAATGCTGACTTAGAACTGTGTTCTAGAAGTAAATAAAATGTACTCTAGGCAATAGTTCAGCTTTGACTTCATATAGTCCCTTGGAGGTACACATTATATTAGCTCATAACACCTGACATGGTATGTGCAGTATAACATGTAGGCAAAACATGCATGCCCAGAAAATTTAAAAATAAAGTTATTTTTAAAACAACTGACAATTGGTCAAAATTCAGTGGTAAGTAGTTGCATTTTTTGAAGACATGTGCACTGCAGTTTGATATAGTTGTCATCACTCTATGTTATCTTTATATCTTCCTGGCCCTTAGAGACATCCTAGGAAAGGAAACAGCATAAACAGAAGGATAGAAATGAGGACAATGGGGGAAAGTTTTGTCAAGGGAGCTAGTATGTTTCCTTATTCTGGTCTATGTGGCTATAATAATGACATTATTGATCTTTGCATATTCTAGTATGGTGGTGGCAAAATGCAGAGAACACAAACACATCACATTTTTTACATGTGCCTTTTACTGTTGCCATTCCACTATGCCAGACTTGGGAATTGATTATCTCACTGACAGAACAGGTTGCTGGCTTAAAATGATGTTGAGAGGTACATATAATTACCTGGCTATCTGTTGAATGGATTTGCATGATAATATCCTGTGTGGTTAGAATCAAATGAATTGATCAGCTGTTTGATTTTATTCCTATTTATAGCCTCTTAAGTCCTCAGATGATTTTGTAAGGCTGATATTACCTTCCTGGAAATGTATTGCTGAAAGGTAAAACTATCTCTGTGGCTGAAATCTCTATTACACCCTCATACCACAATAACTCATTGGTATGAGTTTCTACTTTTGAAACCACCAGAGGACACTGGCACACACGGTAGCAGAATCAGCCTCGGTTTGTCATAAAATTCCTTGTATGAAATTCCCTATCTGAAGCAGGAGGAAGTGTAGACACTAAAGGTGATGCTCTGAACACTCCTAGACTAGAAGTCAATATTAAGATGAAATAATTCTATGGTAGAATAGTTTATCCTTCAATGTGTGATCAGTCATAAAAGTCACTGTGAAAATGTAACGAAAGCTACTAAACTTTTGGTCAAAAGATATAAATCTATTTACAAAATCCAGATTAATTTGGTATTATCCATGTCAACATGACAGTTGCTTAGAGTTTGCTTACGAAATAGCAAAATCAATAACTACAGCTCAGTTTGGACTGAACTGGCCTTTGAATGTTTGGAACTTGTAATAGTTAATAAAGTCTATGAAACATCAGTCTATAGCGCCTCTCTTTTGTACTAAGATATAAACTGCATTTGGGTGAGAAATTATGCCAGTCCTTGTCCAATCACCATTAGTAGTAGAGTAGCACTGATGTCAGATGAGCAGAGCACTTAGGATTGAAATTAGTGCCATTAATGATAGATCTTTTCATGTATGCATACATTTTGACATGATGAGAACTAAAACATCATTACCAATTTTTACTATAAGAATGAGAAAAAGCCAACAGATATTGATAGCTCTATAAGGATGTTATTTGTTTGCTTGTTTTAATATTTTGGACTAAGTGGAAAAGGATGGCATTATCCCAGCAAAGCATAGCTCTTGGCCTGTAGGGCCCTTTTGGCATTTGGCTTGTATCAGGGATTCTGAGTGCAATAGATAGGAGAGGCATACATTTTACTTAATTGCTGTGTAGTTACAAACTTGCAGCTGGCTGTGTTAATCAGTCAAGAAGCCAAGATAAGAATTCTATCCAAAAGGAATGTCTGAAAGTGTAAACTCTTAGAGAATACAAAATTAATTCAGTCTAGAAAAATTGGGAGGTCAAGAGAAGTCAGATCAGAAAAGGAAGTTTTTAGAAGAATGTGGAGCTGAAATCCAAATGTGTGTGGATTTTGGCAGATTTTATCATTTTCTCCTTAGCCCTTCATGGAGAGGTCTATGTTTTAATATACAGATTTAGGTGCTCCTGCTGAGATGTGAAAATAAAGAATGAAATGGAAGTAGATTCCTCCCTGGCCTTGCTCTGTTGGAGAGAGTTTAGGTTGATGCACGGGTTATGTGAAGAATCAAGTTTAACATGTTGTCTGAATCTTGAGCTATTGGAATTTCTGAATATTATCTTCAAACCTTGTTTATGATAATCTTGATATAGAAAGAGCTTAACTCAGGGCTAAGTCAACCAGTGATCTTCAACTGATCAAAGACCATTATAAGCAGAGTGCTAGAAAATACTTAAGATGAATTTTTACTGACAAGGAAGACTGATATAAAGCATGATGTGGTAAGAAACAGCATAGGACGAGGACCTATATCACCAGGATCCTTGTTATAGACCCTGTATTCTTCTCTGGTTGTCTGTTTCCTCATTATAAAAAGGAGGGTGTAGGTGGGCATGGTGGCACAGGCCTTTAATCCCAGCACTCTAGGGCAGGGCCAGGCAGATCTCTGTGAGATCAATGTTGGCCTTCTCTTCATAGTGAATTCCAGGTCAGCTGAGGTTACTGGGAGACCCTATATCAAAAAGATAAAAAAAAGAAGGGTAAGGGTGTAACGATGTATGCTTGTAATCTTAGTCCTTTGGCAGCAGAGGCAGGAGATATCTGAGTTCAAGACCAGCATAGGGTACATATATAGACTTTGTCTCAAAAACTAAAATACTGCTATTACTGCTACTACTGCTACTGCTGCTGCTACTACTATTACCAACACCACCACCACCACCACTACTACTACTACTACTACTACTACTACTACTATTACTACTAAATGAACAAATAATAGTACTGGTGTTAGAAGAAGGGCCTGTTCTAGACAATAACAAGGAGTCTATTCGTTTTGAATCACTTTAATTCTTAGATAAGACATTTTAAGGAATATGGAGAATATTGAGGAATCTGTTCATTTATTATATCTTCATGTGAAATAAGACTACGGTGTCATTTGAAAACATACAGTTTTATTTGTGAAGGTTAACACAGATTGCAGATAAGTCTCTTCATGGTACCATTCAACTGTGAAGCTACCAACCCCTTTATAGACTATGCATCCAAGTCAAGGGATAAAGAATTTGGCCTACTTAAGCTGCACATTCATAATCATGGGCAGATGATCTACTTACTGTATATCATCTTATCGTATTGTGGGTTTTCTTCTGTTATTGTTTTATGTACAAAGAACAATATCATTTAGTATAGTATAGTATTTAGTATAACAACAACAACAAAAGCCAGTCTTGAGAGTCTGGAGGGTGAAATTCTGTTCTGGTTCAGCTATTTTAAAAAAGTTTGATTTCTATACAAAAGCTCTTCTCATTACTAAATTGTTTACTATATGATATAAGAGAATAATTTCATACCTTTGGTCCAAGTTTCAAGCCTAGAAAATAAGGATCCTAGATTAAATTATTGACAGTGATTCTTTCTTACCTCACATGTCTATAATTCAAATCTCTCTGGGTACCAGTCATGGTAGTACATACATGTAATTCCAGCACTTGAGAGACTAAGGTAAAAGGATCATGATTCTCATGTCAGCCTGGGCTTCATAGTGATACCCTGTCTCAAAACACACAGAAAAACAAACAAATTTTCTGGGAGATAAAAATACTTGGAATCTGGGGCTGGACAGATGGCTCAGCAGTTAAGAGCACTGACTGCTCTTGCAGAGGATCCAGGTTCTAGTCCCAGCACCCACATGGCAGCTATGAACCATCATTAACTCCAGTTCCAGGGGAATCTGAAGCCCTCTTCTGACCTCCATGGCATTGCACAGCATGGGTGCACTCACATACATGCAGGCAATACACTCATACACATAAAATAATAAGTAAAATATTTTAAAAAATACTTGGAATCTTAAAATTTCCTTGGTAGTATATAGCATTTAAGCATGACCAAACACAATGTAAAACTGATCTTGAAGGATAAGAAAAAATGAATTAATCTCACATCTATAGGGATCAACTCTTCTTTCTTATGAAGAAAGAAGAAGAGAAGTAGGTAAGCATGATGTTTATACCACCACTTAATGTTTGATCTTAAATCATGAGAATTTTGTTCATAACCCTTATCTACTACTATTTTCACAGAAAGGAAGTCGTGCCAGTGTAAGCTTCTAGATCATCTTCAAAGTGGGAGGTCCCCAAGGCTATCCTCTTCTTTGGGGAGCCTAACTCCAGCTACTTATGAACACTCCAATGTAGCTATTTATGAGGTACAGCATCCAAAAGTTATTTAATCTTTGGCCTTCTTGGGTTTTAAAATAAGGCTGTGATTTAAGAGTTAGTCTCTGGGTGAAAATATTGAGGCTTTGTCAAGCCTTTCCATTTTTGAGTCCACTTATCAACTTTTTGGACAATGTTTTTGGCAATGATTTTTTTAGCAAATAATCTTACTCATAACTTCATTGATATTTCAACTCAATTTATTTACAATGTATATGGAAAAAGACATAAGACCCAATATACAAAATGTATCAGTCATCCCTCAATGCTATATGTAATAGAAGAAATAGAAGACTATACTAATAGAAGAAATTACTCCCTGAGCCTCCTGTTTGGGATAATGTGTCTAGGCATATGCTTATGCAGGGTAGTGTTTGGAGTAGTCTACAAAGTCTGGTTGTTCTTCATATGCTTGTAATATTTTGGTGTTATTGAAACTTTAAACATTATTTATTTATTTTTCACATATGCTAT